GCAACAGTGCCCACGTTAAACTGTGACGATAACCAGGTAACTTTTGCAAACATATTCTATGTTGACAACCTGACCTGATACGTGAAGATTACGGCATTGAATTCTCAGCTAAAATAATATTAAAAGTACAGTTTATGACAGAAAAACTGGGTATTTTAAAACTTTGCTTACAGTTTAGAGCGCCACCACCATTGCCGCTTCTGTTTTGAAATGCATTCTGGGATACCTGGCTGCCCCAAGTCCACACTATTACCATTTCATAGCAGTCAATTATTTAGGATCAACCTGTCTTGACTTACTTTGCACTGTAACCATTCAGATGTTAGACAAGCAGCGGTTGCAGTGTTAACCCCGCCCCCTGACTTTGATGGGTGAGGCTGACAGATAAAATTAATTCATGAAGACAGAGGCAGGGCCAAGAGTGCCAAAATGAATTAAATAAATACATCATTAAATAATTAATTAAATATGTCATTAATAAAATAAAATTTGAAATAAATAAATGCTTTAAATGTAATGAATGGACATTTAATTGATTATTGAAATATTTATTTAATTAATTAATTCCAATTTTAATTAAATAATGAAACATATATTTAATTATTTAATTGCATTTTTAATTCATTCATTTTGATAATCCTGGTCCTCCATAGATTGCACTTGTTTTTTTAGTTTGCCTTGACTGAAAGAAGAATTATTTAATTTCAAATAAGTACGTAATGTAAAATTGTAACATTGCAATTTATTTTACAGAAATACCCAAACTTCAGAGATTTTTGCAAGATCTCAATGACTGTCACTCAGAGACAGTAAACTACGTGAATCGAGCTCACGGGATTCTGTCTTTGATTCAAGGCGCCAACTCCAGAGGAGTGGTAAGGTCAAGTAAAAGATACACAACAACATTCTCTTACATGTTAGGATTTATCAATTGTGTTTGTGTGTCTGATTTTGGTTTTGCTATATTTATTAAATTATGAGTTATTAATTAGTTGACTGATTCATAAGGTATTGATGCTCCATTTTTGCTTCTCAGGTCCTTAGAGTGGCTTTTAAAACCAACTGAATTTCATTAATCTTTTTTAAAAACCCAACAAGTGGTTTTCATGGTTTTATTCCTTCAAATGTTTTTCAGGATAGTAAAACAGACGAGGTGTGTGAAGAACTTGAGAGAAACATGAACCTCCAACTTGATAATGTCAGAAAAGAAATGGAAGACACCTGTAGGGCTTTTGAAAGATGTCTTGATGATGGTGTTAAGAAATCCTTCTTTTATCATGTATGTTTTTTAATCATAGTTAAAATACATACAGATTTTACATGACAATGTAAAATGCAATAATTCTGAGTTTTCTTTTGTGTTTCAGGGAAAGAATGGTGGTGCTTTTTACAATTTACTGAAGTGTGTCATTGAGAATGGTGGCATCTACAAACCAAAAAAAGGGAAACCAATAAACCTTAATATGAAGTTGGCTTCCTGTCTGATTGACAGCATTGGTGCAGAATTCAGAAAGACCTTCCCGTAATAAAAACATGTTCTAAACAGTCACATAATATCATTCAAGATATGTAATTCATAACATATAAACTTGCCAATTCTGTCATTATAAACCGTAATGTTTACTTGTTTTAGAAATGAAGTAAAATGTGGAGCAGTCAACGGAGTCATCAATACATTTACACTTAACACTGATTCTCTGATTGAAAAGTACAAAAATGCTGAACTACAGCTCAGATTCCTCAAGACAGAGGTAAGAGATGAGACTTTCTTATACATTAGCCCATTGATAAACAATAAGTAAAGTTCATCTATACTTCATGTTTTTCTCTCAGGAAGAAAAGATTAAGGCAAAATTAAACAGAATCATCCAGAAGCAGAAGAAAATTGTCTACAGCAGTCTGACAGAGACAGTTGAGAACATTATGGAAGAAGGCTACAAGAGTAAGAAATAAGATCAGAGCTTTACAACTTATCACTTAAACAGATATTTATGTTTGTTATTATTCAGCATAAAAAGTCTGAAGAGTTTTCTGTCTTTTTTTAGAGGCTTTAGCATTTACAGGAGAAGACACGTTGTACAACATGAGGGAGACTATTAAAAACCACGTGCACTCAAAGAAGGACATGTTTGAGCAGGCAAAAAGTACCATGTTGGAGAAGTTGCACGATTTGGTGGTTTGTCATGTTTTATGAAGAATTATGATGAACATATTTTCTCATAACTCACCTGAAGGCTTTTTCTGTATTTAACTGGAATAGACTTATACAGAAATGTTTGTTTCCATTTATATTTTTAATCCAGTCTGAGAAACTTCTAAATACAACTTTAACATAATATCTTAGTCTGTGGTAAGTGAGGAAAAACTTTACATTTTTAAATTAGGTATACGTCTTGGAGACTCTGGAGAAAACTATGAAAGAATCTATTGGACTTTCATTCAAGGATGAAGAGTGCTTACTCCCAGGTAAACAGTTTGATGTAATTACATTGGTTCAAATTGTTTGCCTTTCCTCTTTATCTTTGCAATCTTGCAGCTGATAACAATAAGGGTGTCTATTTATCTTTTTTTAAAAATTAATTCATTACTCATTTAGCCACACATTTACGTATGTGTGTCACTCTGGGAGGAAACAATTCAAAAACAGTTTTGTTTTTCAGATGTTTCAACAGAGCTTAAGATGTTGAAGAAACATTATGATCTACTTGTAGGCACTCCAGATGATGAAATATAACTGGGTAAATGCTAAGATTTTATCTTCAGTATGAAATTATTGTTGTTAATTTTTTTAAAAATGTCAGTGTTTTTGTCTTTAATAGACAATAGATTCTGTTTGCTTGCTTTGGCTCTGATGGAGGTGGACGCATCTCTCTCCCTCTCCCTCCCTTATCTTTCCTGCTTGGCTTCTCGTGTCTTATATCTGGTCGTGTCTATCTCTAACCCCAGAAGAGCCTCTCAGTCCTCATCTCTAATACCTAAAGAAGAACTATGAATTTGATCAACTGATCCCTAAATGCAATTGACACTCACTTCTCGATGAAAAGCCTGGGTTCGGAAGAGTTCAACCGTCCTGGAGAGACTTTCCCTGCCGGATACACGATGGCAGGAGAAGTGGCATGTCGTGTGCCTGGCGGGACTTTCGACTGAGGACATTGAAGACATCTACCTATTTGGAATCATTATAACAGGATTCTTGCTGATCGGAGATGGCTTGGCCCTGGTTTATTGGAAATTGAAGAAAGC